CCTATCCTATCCTATCCTATCCTATCCTATCCTATCCTATCCTATCCTATCCTATCCTATCCTATCCTATCCTATTATTTCAAATTCTATTCTATTCTATTATGTTTCTGTTTCATTTCTGTTCTGTTCTAATTCTGTTCTGTTCTGATTCTATTCCCTTCCCTTCACGGCTACTCTGCAACCCATCCTACGGGCTCCTGTTACGCCGAGACTCACCCAACGCCCGTTTTTTTCAACTTGGCGCAGAGTAAAACGTCTGTGAAAAGGAAAACGTGGCGCAGCTTGCGAGATCCTTCGGCCACCTCAACCAAGAACCCATCCTTGACCAGCTGGCGGTTCTGCAGAGGAGGGAAAACAGTCAAAAAACAAACAAACAAACACATCACACCCCATAACTCCACAAAAGGCCCTGTGGCTTTTTATATATAGGACAGGATGAGTGGTGCGATGGCCTAGAGGTGGAGCTCTCGCCTCAGAATCCGGAGGCTGTGAGTTCGATCCTTGGTAGAGGCAGATATATTTCTCTCTCTGGGCACAACGAGAATTTATCTGCCTGACAAAACTCCCCACTGGCAACAGGAAAGGTATCCGGCCAGGAAACACTCAGTTCCATTCAGTTGCTCAGACTCCACCCCTCAAGGGATTATGGAGTCATTAAATGAGGAGGACAGGATAGGACCTGTTTAGGATAGCATGCTCAGAGGCTATGGGGAACTGGGACCTCTGAATGCCGAGGATGGGCAGAAAAATTGCTCTGCCCTGTTTTGAAAAAGGGGTTCAATTCTAGGATGAATTACAAAGAGGCCCCGATTCACAGCAACGGAGGGGTGGCTTCAGCCATCAAATTCATTTCCATAAATATTTAACTTTACCTAGCCGTCCATTTCATTTCAAAGCGATTGTAAACATCATACAACAGCCCAATAAATCCCCAATACATTAAAAAAAATAAATTACAAACCACTCATTTTTCTTGTTTTCACTGCGTCATCATGTGATTGGGTTAGGGTTATTTATTCCTGATTATTTTAATGCATTTATTTATTTACCGGTATCTATTTATTTATTTATTTGTATTTATTTATTCAATTTACAGACTGCCCATCTTACTTCAAAGTAACTGATTTATTTCTGATGATTTTAAAGCATAGATAGATGAGAGAGAGAGAAAGAGAGAGAGAGAGAGGGAGATCTTCCATCTATATATATAAAAGCGAAATTACCCCTCACGCATCATCACAACATCTCCAGAACTGTAAAGCCTACAAACTTGAAATTTGGCCCGTAGGTTCCTCTTGGCTTCTAGGTGCTCACTAAGAAAGGATTTTTCGAAATGACCATCAGAGCATTTAGAGTATTTCCTATATTATTATTATTATTATTATTATTATTATTATTATTATTATTATTATTATTAACACGCTCTGATGCTAAGGAGTTCGACTCCCCCTCCCCACCTGAAGAGAACTCTCTTCCAAATGCAAAACAGAAGCAGAGGAGTTTCAGTTTCACAGCATTAAGCAGCTTTAGTACAGAACAGTTGAGCTAAGCCCCGCCCAGGTTCCTTGCTGCCTCCTTCTTGCTCACACAGCAAATACTCTTTTAGTTTCCAAACAGCCCTCGACTCTCTCACCCACTGACAGGACGGCTGGTAGGCAGAGGCAGAATTTTCCCCCCCCTTTATTTTCCTCCTCCAAAACTTGCCCGCTCACATAGTTTCATAGGGAAGCACGGGTATCGAGCTAGTATAGTTATACGTGCTTTAAAATTATCACAAATAAATCAACATATACAGTTACCTGCTAAATTATATAATTTCATACATTTTACATAAAATGTAGAAAAATAGATAAAGATAGATGAAGATACACAGATAAATGGATGATTGACTGTAGTATATATAGATATATATACGTGTGTATGAAGATAGATAGATAGATAGATAGATAGATAGATAGATAGATAGATAGATATAAATATATGAGCGCGCATGTGTGTACATATATATGTGTGTGTACACACACACACACATATATATTAACACGCTGTAACTGATGTTATAAGCTTGCCCAGAGTCGCTTCAAAATGAGCGGCCAATAAATTTAATGAATGAAATGGATCCTAAATCAATAATCGTTATTGAAAATTGTACAGTTGTAATTGCAGGAATGTCCCTATCTTGGATGGCAAACCTCAGATAAAGAACGTTTACAAGCAAATACAACTCAGGCGAACAAAGTCACTAATCTAAAGGAGGATTAGAGAGAGGAAGTAAACATATGTTAGACTTTAACTAGAGATAATTAATTGTGTTAATTACTATTATGCTAAACAGTAACGAAAGTTAAGCAGTAACCAAAGTTAACCAATGTTGGAGGATTACTAAAAATGTGTATGAATGCAAGACTAGGCTCCAGTAAAGCTCATCATGATTCAGTTGATCATGATCAAACGCCTCGACTGCCTCGTCATTACAACAGAAAATTAGTTTTGAAAATTACAAATGTTAACGGAGAAGCCTCAGAATCCTACCCTCGCCGTCTCATCCCCTTCCCAAAGAGCACCGCACTCATCCTGATATCGCACGGACAGCTTATCTTGACCCTGGTGGGGCCTCCAGCCACAGGGGCAGTCTATCTCGAGAATCTTGGCAAATCTCCACCTGGGGAGGAGGTCTGCTTTGCTGATGGTTTTTTTTTGGGGGGGCCCTAAGTTGGTCCACACAGAGAGTCAGGGACATCCCACCCCACCCACAAAAAAAAGCCTCATCACAACACAACAGCCTGCTTGCCTCTCCTTTCGGGGTAGTGACGGCCGTTCTGCGAGGATCGATGTCCTCGTTGATGCTGGAGAGGAAGTTCTGGGATATTCGAAGGGCGTCTTGGAGGAGCGGGTAATCGGGGTGATCGGTCGGCGTGTGCTTCAACAGATCCTGGGATCCCAAAAGAGAATTTTTTAAAAACAACCACAACAAATTATTGAGGTTTTTCAAGAAGAGATTGGACAGTCCCTTGTCTGAAATGGTATAAGATCTCCTGCTTTAGCTGGGGGCTGGACTAGAGGACCTCTGAGGTCCCTCCCAAGCTCTATTCTGAATTAATTAAAATGGCGGGAGCTTGACCCCTGGAAGCTTTCAAGGAGACACTGGACTGCCATTGGTCAGAAATGGTCATGCCCCTGTTGGAGACTGACTCCCCTACAGCGAGTGGAATTGTACTGGTGGTACTGGAGGAGGCTGGGGAAGGGCAGAGGCCGGCTGGGCAGTTGGAGGAGGACCCAGGCGCATCCCTTCTCCATCCTAGGGCACGCAGGGAGGATAAGGGAGAGACATGGTCTACGGGGGAGGAGAGGGCCTTGATCCCCTTCATGGGCTGCAGCTGTGACAACTGGACTGTGTTTATTTTGTATACCGCAAAATGGAGTAGGGTCTCCCGCTTGGGTGGGGGTTGGACTAGATGACCTCCGAGGTCCCTCCCAGCTGTATTCTGAATTAAATTTGCCATACGTCCCTCCGTGATCAGAAAGAGCTAGGTAGATTTCACCCCCTCACCCCCCCCAATTCCCTGTGGGGGTTTTACTCACTTGTAAAACATTGGTGCTTCGAGCAACTCGGTTTATAGGTTTATAGAGCAAGGCTACAAACGAGAGAGAGAGAGAGAGAGAGAGAGAAATAACAGTCAGCGTAAGGAACAGGTAAGGAGGCAGAATTAAGAAACAAATCAAAAGTTCCGAAACGAGTTAAAATTGCAAGATTTAGCCCAAATCCTTATTATGCTGATTCATAGCAAAAAAACAAAGAAAAACCGCTATTTAACCACATTAAAAATGGTAAATAGGTAGTCCTCCACTTATGACCAGAATTGGGACTAGAATTTGACAGACTAGAACCCTGGGCCATATCTAACAAAATGAAATTCAATGTAAAGAGTAAAGTCTTGCACTTAGGCAAGAAAAACCCAAACGACACCTATAATAGACTGGGTGAAACCAGGCTCAATAGCAGGAACTGGGAGGGGGATCTCGGAGTCTTAGTGGACAACCAGCTAAATAGGAGCCGATGTTGTGCAGCAGCAGCCAAAAAAGTGAATGCAATCCTAAGTTGCGTTAACAGAGGGATACAATCGAGATCAAGGGAGGGACTAATATAAAGCCTTAGTAAGGCCACACCTAGAGTCCTGCATCCAGTTTTGGTCACCACACTATAAAAAAGATGTTGAGACTCTAGAAAAAGTGCAGAGAAGAGCAACCAGGAGGATGAGGGGACTAAAACATGCAATGAACGGTTGCAGGATCTGGGCCTGGCTAGTCTAGGGAAGAGAAGGACCAGGGGAGACAGGATAGCATCTTCCAATATTTGAGGGAGGGGCTGCCCCAGAGAGGAGGAAGGAGTCAAGCTATTCTTCAAGGCACCCGAAGGCCAGACAAGAAATAATGGATGGAAACTGAACAAGGAGAGATTCAACCTGGAAATAAGGAGGAATTTCCTGACAGACAGAACAATCAACCCAAGGAACAGAAGTTGCCCTCGGAAGTTGTGGGAGCTTCATCCCAAGAACCTTTCAAGAAGAGACTGGACTCTCATCTGTCAGAAATGGTGTAGGGTCTCCTGCTTGGGCAGGGGGTTGGACTAGATGACCTACAAGGTCCCTTGCAACTCTGATTATCTGTTATCTGATTTGCAGGTTCTCCGAACTGGGCATAACAACCGGTTGTGTAGAACCGATCCAAACCGGTAGAATCCCACCCCCTGTATCAATTAGTATTATTAGAGCTGTTAATTTATGTATATTGTTTGTATTATTCTTAGTAAATGGGACAATATTTTTATGGTATTAGCTATACTTTTTATTTTTTGTCCCACCTAGCCATTCCCACCGAACCGGTTGTAAAAAAAATTTGAATCCCACCCGTGTTTAACACGCACGCACACTCCCAGCCTGGGAAAGTTTTCTGCTAACAGCCGAGTACAACGTTGGGCTGAATTCCGGCTCTGTGGCGGATGGCCAGGAACGCCACCCGAGATGCGGAGAAAGCATTGTGGGACTTTAAATCAAGCTGCTACTCTACCCTAATCCTTGTCAAAAGGGTGACCGCATTCTTTTTATTTTTAAAATTCCCATGACGTCATTTCTGGAATCGAATCCGCTTTTGCCGAGGGGAGGACGGAGGGAGAGCCCCAAAAATTTAATTTTATTTCCGCGTGGGAACAAAACCCGGGATTTTCCCGTGCTTTTCTTCAAACCCCCCCCCAAAAAATTCCTCTTCCCCAAGGAAATTTGAAACAGGGTCGAAAAGCGGAGCGAGGAGCTTGTACTACAGGAGGTCGTCAGCTTACGGTGGTTCACTTAGTGACCGTTTGAAGTTACAATGACACTTTATTTTTTTTAAAAAAGGGACATGACCATTTTTCATCATTTTTCACCGTTACGCCTGATCCAAATTCAGAGGTTTGGCAGCTGGTTCGTATTTATGACGGTCCCTGATGGAGGGGGGGGGGTTGTCACGTGATGATCCCCTTTTTTGCGACCTTCTGACATGCAGAGACAACGGACGAGGAAGATTCACTTAACAACCGCGTGACAAAGTTAACTGTCTCGCTTAACAACGGTGGCAGAAAATGCCGCAAAACGGGGCAGGGGGGGAACTCACTGGATGACCATTTCACTTAGCAACATAAATTTGGGGCTCCGTTGTGGTTGTAAGATGAGGACCACCTGCAATTCAGAGCGGTCCTTGAGAATTCTGGGAATTGGAGTCCATGCGTCTTAAAAGTGACCCCTGGTTTACGCCAAAAGCAGACTTGCACACTTGGACACCTGCTAGTTTCTGGTTTCTACGAGACACAACTTCTCCAGTAACATCCAGCCTTTCTACACACCCACCCAGAATTAAAGAGAGAGAAAAAATATCTTTCTTAAATTTATACACCGACCGTCTCGCCACTGGGAGAGATTCTGGATTTTTGGGAGAAGAGTCAGGGGTCCTGAAATAAGCTAAGAAGAAAATCCAGCCCCCTGGGGCAGACCAGGATACCCATTATCCAGTGTCCCCCTCTACCACTGCCAAGAACTGACCCCCAGCAGAGGGAGGGGCAAGGGAGCCAGGGTTAACACGTGCTTTAAGAGGGGTGGGCTTCCGCTCCCAGAATCCCCCAGCAAGCCTGCTTTAAGAGGGGAGGACTTCCACTTCCAGAATCCCCCAGCAAGCCTGCTTTAAGAGGGGTGGGCTTCCACTCCCAGAATCCCCCAGCCAGCCTGCTTTAAGAGGGGTGGGCTTCAACTCCCAGAATCCCCAGCCTGCAGGTTTTAAGAGAGGTGGGCTTCAACTCCCAGAATCCCCCAGCCAGGTTGCTTTAAGAGGGGTGGGCTTCCACTCCCAGAATCCCCCAGCAAGCCTGCTTTAACAGGGGTGGGCTTCCGCTCCCAGAATCCCTCAGTCTGCATGCTTTAAGAGAGGAGGACTTCCACTCCCATAATCCCCCAGCCAGCCTGCTTTAACAGGGGAGAACTTCCACTCCCAGAATCCCCCAGCCTGCATGTTTTAAGAGGGGAGGACTTCCACTCCCAGAATCCCCCAGCCAGGATGC